TCTAGACTTTTGTTTAGCTCATGAGAAAGAATCCCGAAAAACGTCTCGGTGCTGGAGAAGGAGATGCTGCCGAAGTGAAGCAGCAGCGCTTTTTCAAGGTAAAAGTTTGGATTACGGTGTTTTTGTTTACCTTCAGTTTTGTGGTTTATAAGTTTCATGTTTTTTTTCGGTTTTACAAAATTTGTTGTTTTAAATTATAACCTTTGCTTTTTTAATTTGGCAGTAAATTTACTGACGACTCAGCAGCAATCGGTTAGTAAGGTGCTAGTTATAATGATAAGCTTAAGAGGTTGTTCTAATTTGTACCTTTGTCATTTGATTTTTCGTTTTCTAGCATATTAATTGGGAGTGGGAGAAGTTGCTCAGACGAGAAATAAAGCCAAAGTTTGTTCCGCAAGTTGTGAGTTATTGTTTTTTGCTTTTTACTTGTTTATTATATCTTTCAACAAATTTCTCCAGTTTTTATGCTCTTTGTTCGAGAAGCCTCTTTTCCACCGTTTTCTTTTTTTTTTTTTTAAGAAAAATCCAGAGGATGTAAGTAACTTTGATGAAGAGTTCACCAGGGAACTTCCACGGTTTTCTTGTGCGAAGAATAAACGTCAAATCACCGAAACGGACCAATTGCTATTTAAAGATTTTGACTTTTCATCTATAGTTGACTGAGCGTAGTTGTTTTTCACGTGCAATCGTCGCCTTGTATGTATCAATTATTTTTTGTACGCTCATTCTTCGATACCTTATCTATGAGAAGTTTAATGGTTTAAAAAAAATAAGAAACGAAATCGGTGTTCCAGTTCTGTAAATTTCTACGCATTTTAATAGTCGGGTTAGCGCTTGGCGTATTTATATATTGCGTTTATGTTTTGCTTTCACTTGTTACATTAGGCGCTTCCTTTTTTAATTGTTGTAGTGGCATCTTTTTGAACGCCTTTTTGACTAGCGAGGTACTTATGCTTACTGATCGTGAGTGTTATTACACCAGCTCATTTGTATTTCATTTTTCTCCTTGTCTTTATATGTTACAATTTTCTGCTGGCCTGTTTAGGAGGAGCCTGAAATTCTTTACTTTTTCCATTATGAGTGGAGAAGTTAACGTTTGGTTTCTTTAGTTGGTTGCATCATCTTGTTCACATTTTGATATTTTATACCGGTGAGTCCGAAAGTAAAATTTTTCTTCTCTTTTTCTTGGTACTACGAAATTTGTAATGTGCTACATCTATGCAGCGTTGTAATTGTCGTTTATTTCTTATGTTACAAAATTTTCCTGACTTTTCACGAGAAGTTTTTTAGAAATGGTGTGATTACTCGGTTTGCTTTATTATAGTTTTTGGTGGTGACCAGCGTAATTTTGAGCAGGGAGGGTTCTGGTGAAAGGTTCTTGGGTGAACTTTTTTATACAGAGCAAGCCGTGATTATATTGCATTTTCTCTTTTCTTCTTTTCTTCTTATTTTGGGTTCTTTCGTGTAGCACTTTCATTTGCAACAAAAAAAAGTTGCTGGGTATCTTTTGCTCTTTGTTTTTTGTTCTTTTTTTTTGATCTGGATTTTTTAACTTTTGAATAATAATTGTCAGTGCTTATGAGTGTTGTGTTTTGTTATTTTTATTGAATTTTGAAGTTTAGATGACATCTATATTGGAACAACTGTTGTTGCAAATATGTGCATGTTCATGTGTTTATCTACAGGAATTCTCTTAGTTTTCTTTGTAACTTGAGGAACAGCAGAATTATTGGTGCTTTTCAAGAATTCTAGTTCTTGGTTTTTTTCCAGGCTTACGTTATCTGTTAGGAATCTGGATGCAATTTTTTTTAGATTGGTTTATTCCCATCGCCGCCAAGTGCATTCTTTGTTTTTCTAGTCGTCTTAGGGTATGACTGAAGTTAGTTGATCAGAGCTTTCTTTTCCATTGGTTATGACAGAGGGTGCACGTTGTCTCAGAACTATGCTTTTGTTGTTATGTTTAAAGGGGCCAGCTTTGGTAAATTATGTTTAAATGCTTGTAATTCTACCATAAATTTCAGTAGCAGCATTCTTTACCTGTATTTTTGATCGTTCTCGCGCGCTGTTACAAATACAGTTGATATAGCACTGTCTTGGTGTTGTTGCAGGCTTTAGGGCCAGTCAGTCGTTTTAATTGGAGCTAGTTTTTCCTGTCATTTAACCCCTCTCAAATCATCAGCTGAAATGCAGGTGTAGGAAAGATGTTTGATTGTGTTTTCTATGAGGATGCCCTTGACTCGATTAGTAGGTTTTTTTGGCTGCCGTAGGTTGTTTGGCAGTAGAGGAGGTGCAAAAGGGCGCTCGACCCGAATAACAAGTTTCAGAATGTCATGGTTGTGATTTTGGTTAAAAGTTGCGCTGGGACGGACACTTAGTCTCTTTTAATGAGGTCGGGAATGGTGCTGGCTTTTTTGTATATGGTTTGGCGCGTTGCGCAGTTACAGGGCTTCTTGGTATTGTCACGGTCATGAAGGAGCAGGGATTGAGGTAAGAAGTAACGCTTCAAAAGACGTCCGAGTGTTACTTTCGCTACTTTCAAACGTTCTGTATGTTTGTTGTTTTGAAGTTAATCTCAAGGGAGGTGTCAACGGTTTTTTTAAAATTGAGGTGGGTTGTAGCATCTGTTGAAAATCACGCCTTTAGGCGGTCGCTTGCTCCGTAGCAGTGTTTCCAGTATGAGTTGTGGAATGACTGAGAGGGTTCTCAGTGGTAAGTCTCTGAGTCTTGTAACTGAGGAGTGAAGTGGGTTTAAAGTCGAAAAGGGAGGATGGACAGGGAATGTGTTCTGGTCGGGATAATGGCATCACAGCGGTTTCAAAACTAAATACAGAAAACATGGCCATGAGTCGAAATTAACAGTCGGACAGTGCAGAGGAGTTGTCGAGTGTTCAGGCGATGAGACGACAGGTTAAGAAGAGTGGGGCACTGTTGTGTGGAGCGAAGTAATTCCAGTTAGGATTTGAGGTGGGCTGATGAGACAAACTGGGGGTTTAAATGAAGGCACTGAAGCTGCGTTGGGATGTGATGATTTACTTTGTGGAGTGTTAGGACGTGTACGTGTACGTGATGTATTGAATGGGTTTTTTGGAGATCTGCAAGTGTGAATTACATAATTCCGGGTGGTATACTGGAGCAGTGCGCACAACAGGATCTTAAAGCTGGTTTTGAATGCTTTTATTTGATTTTCTTTTCTGCTTAATCCGGGTGGGTTCCATACCGAGAGAAAGGATTGAAAAGCAACATCTGCAGATTCAGTGGATATCGGTAGCTTAGAACTGTATTGCATATATTCGACAATTAAGATTTTTTTTGAAATACGAATCGTTGTTGTGTACATGAAAAATTTAGAATTCTGGAGTATGTTTTTGAGTTTCAGTCAAGCAAAGGTGCACCAAAGTTTAAGGGACTATATTGAACTGGATTGCAGTTTCGTTGCCCGTATTCTTCTTTGACTTTAAGCATGGTCGTCTGCGGTACGTTCGTTTTCTGTTCCAGTGTAATAGTAGTATAAAAGGCGCTTCAGCGGCTAGATCAAGATGCAAGTTTGCCACTTTTGTCTATATATGACATACTTCGGAGAAACGTTATATCAACTTGCATTCGTTGCAGCTTTTTCAAACTGCAGTTTTGTTTAAAAAAGTGTAAATTTCTGCGAAGAAAGCTAGCGAAAAGCATATTGAAAGCTTATAGAATTACGGTAAAATCTCTATCAGTCGAAGTTTTGTATTCTTAACGTTGCTCAAAGCATGCGGGTTTTGTATTTCCAGTTATGTTTGAAATTTTTATTGCCTTGTGAAATATCTTTGTTTAACAGTATTTTGAAGAGCGGGGCGATGGAGATAGTTTATATCATACAGGCTTTCCGCGTACGAACAGCCGTCTTCTATCCTTTCAAGTATAGTAAGACTTCTAAGTCATATATTCATTTTTTGGTTTTTTAATTGCTGAGTGGGATAGCTGGGTGAGCGCTAAATTAAAAGCCAGCTGAAAATCCAAGTGGTATTCATGTGCTGGAAGAAACTGCTGTAGTTTAGAAGTGTTCAAAGGGGTAGAGTTTTGAACAACTATAGAACAAAAGGGGGCAAGGAGGGAGGGAGTATTGGAGAGAATTGTTTTACAGAAAGAAGGTGGATTATTTGGTTGATTTTGAAAGAATTGAAAGTAAGAGAATAAGTACTGTAAGATTTGGACTGTGGAGGGGTATTTCTAGAACTGTGTGATTTCGAGCACTGGTTACTTTCTAAAAGAACGTTGGTTGGTCGATTTAATTACTGCAGTTTGAAGTGGCGTATATTCAACAAATTAATTTTACTGCTTTAGGCACAATGTGCTTTTAGTTGTCACCTGTTTCTTACCAACTGATGACAGAGTATTAGAAGTACGTAGTATAGTCTTTAACAGTTTGTTTACGTCAGCTTAAGAAAGATAGCATAGCACAAAAGAAACTACGGACATTTTGTAGTAAGAATAATTTTTAAGTTTTAAGCTTTAATCTTTCCTTTCCAGAAATCGGGATGCTCAGGCATTTAATTTTTTTCTAGCTGGTTCAGTTTCCGATTGTGTGCAAAAAAAATATGTTCCACTCTGAGAAGCCATTTTTCGGTATTTTTTCACATTTTTATGTTGACAGTAATGTAAGTGAAAGATTTAGCTGCTCAATTTTACTAATTATATACGAATTTGGACGATAACTGAGGGCAGTAATGTGCTAAACAAAGTTATTTGCAAATGAAATGTCTTGTTCAAAGTAGGTTATTTTTAGACGTAATTATTTGTGCAGTTTTAGTGCCAGTATTTTGACGTTCCTCTTCCAGGTTTAAATAAAGATCTTGTGCCGTTATGGCTCACAGTGAAATGGATTTTTACGTGATTTTCTTTTTAAGCAACACATTTCAGCTGAATGTAACTTGAATTTTGATCACTGTCATTTGTGTGCATAACGTTAAAAGGTTTGCTAGGTGGTGCTACGCGTTAATAATATTACGGTTAGAAAGAGTAAGTTTGGTTTTGTTTTCATTCTTGGGGATTTCTAAGTTTTGCAAGGTAGTCATACAACGGTTTTTTGTTGGGTAGAAGCTGTATACCGTCTTTTGATGGATAGTTCTTGTTTGTGAAATTGTTTTAGACTGGGCAAAGATACTTAGCAGACTTGAGTGGCTGATGGCAATATATTGTTAGTAATATTGCTGTTAACGGCCGCTGACTAATGAATAAGCAAAAGTATATATTTATTTTTGTGGAATTAAGCCGGTTATGGGACTATCATTTTTACTTTCAAATCCTAAGTATATTTGCACAGGATTTACTCTTCCCCAACCCTTCATGACTTCTCTTGTTTTTGGGTACCGTTGGTTTAATAGTTTTTTGATGGCATGCGGTCATCTGAGTATTTCAAGCTGCGAGAAGTATTGCACTGATTATGTTTGACATCGTTTCAGCAATATTCCAAGTTTTTCGAAAGTGCTTAGTGCTTATTAGCTTAGATCAGCGACAGTAATGTGAGAGTTGGACTGGTAATTTGCATACCGTTTCTTTTAAATTGATGGTAGATGACAGGATAAATTGCCTTGCAGAAGAAAGCTATAAATGTTGATACTACTGTGAAAGTATTGAACCATTTACATAATTCGCCCGCATGAAGGACGGCTTTGAAGATTCTCAGATTGATCATGAAAATCCACCAGTGTTTGCGGATGTGGAGGAGAATAAGAGAGCTTCTCCTTTGATTGAGGTATATGAACGTTTTATATCAGACATATTTGTTCAAAATCGAAAAATATTGTTTACTGACTGGATGAGGTTTGAAAATCAACTGGTTTTAGCGTATTAGACTTACGAAACCATGCTTTGGAGTTATGCTATCATCGATGTTCACAAACTACGCTGTAATGAGTATGTTAGTTTATGGTTTCACCGGCGTTTATCGATATGCTCTGTAAGTTTTATTGTCTCGGCTTCAAGTACAGATGCCGGCATGAAAGTAACGTGGCGGTAACTTTGTATTTAGAAAGGTTGGCTTGAGAAGTTTTGTAATTGTTTATCGGATTTCATAGTGATCTCTAAAACTTCTATTACGATCTGAATTTAAAAAATCTATTGCAGTGTCTTCTGATAGGGGTAGTTAAGATGAAATTTTTTTGTCATCATTTGCGGAGAGTTAAAGCTGAGGAGAATTCTTCTTAAAGACGTTCTGTGTTCTGATTAAAGTTGGTTGTGTATTAGTTGTTCAAGGTATTGGTTTTGGAAGATTAACTTCGATGAGTTTATGTGTATTACTTTAGGATTGCTGGATTCATAACAATGCCGATTTCTTCAGTTTTAACTGCTTGGGATGCAGTTGTAGATCGTGAAAAGTGGTATCAAAAACAAGTTTTACTGCGACAAGGGAGGTTTCAAGAAGCTCACTCGATGAAAACCGTATTTGACTGGAGCGGATATGAGGCTGAAATTGCCAGAACGTTAAAAAATCGGTAGAACGAATAAATGGCTTTCAAAGAAGTTTTGAATCGCTTAATTCTCCGTGTATTTACCAATTTTCAAAACTTTCTTCTAGAAGGCTTTTCAAACTAGGCTAGGATTAGCATAGATATCACCATTATGTTGTTGTTATTAAGTTATTTTTGTGCATTTCTGATGCAGCATATCAAACGTTGTGATTTCGTTTTATTTGAATTATAAAAACTTTAAACTGCCGAATAGATCTGTTACTAACCAAATATGCATTTTATGTTTAGCTTGGGTTTATCGTTTAATATCTACGTTTCTTATAATTTTCTCGTATGCAGTATTTCTGATGTTTTTCATCTACGAATTTGGCCAGAAATGGTAAGGAACAAAATGTTAAGTACTTTTTTTTGGAAAAGTATTTCAAGGCATTAAACTTAGTCTTTTTAACTACAGGTAATAACTGTGCACAAATCGAGTTTTTTAACTAAGTTTAATAAACAAGTTTATTTAACGGAATTCACGACTAAATTTTAATGCAGGACGCTTTTTTAATTGAAAGTAGTTTTATGCCAATTGTATTCGAGGTTTTTACATCACAGCGAGATTTAGGTGTAGTTGGCGGTGGTCGAAGCAAAAGTATCGTGGATAGTTGATGATTAATAAGAGTAATGAATCCTGCGGAACTAACGTTTGATGGTTGTTTTTTTTAACAAGTGATAACCGAAGGAAAATTATTGCTGCTTGCGTGTTTGTAGAACAGGTGCTGTATCTCTCTCCTAGATTTAAGCTTTGTAAAGCTTTAATTTGTCTGAAATACTGTGGGTTAAGAAGTAAAAATGACAGTGTTTTTGTTTGTTTTAGGATTAGAAAACCTAAAGGTCCGATAGTTTAATCAATGTGACTGATATCATTAATTTCTTTGCAAATAATTTGTGGTCCATAACAAGTGATATGCTTTTGTTTGTTGAAAATTACAGTTCGATAGGTAAGAGTATATTCAGAGATTGTTATTTATTCAAGACCGTTAATATAAGTTTAGAGTGCTTGAACTGTAGTGGAATGGAAAATTGCACAAATGGACGCATTTGAGCGCTTAATCTTTTGGCTTTGACAATTATGAATGATCAGGAAGACGGCGGACTTAAGGTTTTTTGAAGCACATGACGCCTCTTCGTAAGAACTCTTTACTAGTTTCCAGGTTGTGAAAAATATAGTTCTTCAAATTAGCAGACTTGATTTAATGCTGACATTCTGAACCAGTCTTAACTTCAATTTTAAGTGGCTTCTTTTACACTATGACTTCATAGGTCTGTAACAGGCGTATAAAACCCCCCATACTGCAGCCAAGAAAGCCCGCCGCCGAACATGCATTTTCTCATCGTTATTTTTTGTGCATGGAGTTGTCTGCCCTACCTAATTCTTCAGTGACAGTTTCAGAACCATACATTTAGTGGTCGCTAACTTTTTCATGGTCTAATACCAAAAGGTTGTCTTATTCCTATCGCTGTTTCACAACACCACCTCCATGCTAGCAGCTGGTATAATGGTCAGCGCGTGCATCTTGCGACCGTGACTTGGAGAATCTGGAAGGAGTTCAAATCCATCTCTGGTGAAATTCACTCACTCACATTTCTTGACCCACTTTTGGTCTGCCCAGAAATACCTATTTAGTTGCACTGTTTTAGTTGTGTACTTGTAACTCAACTGCTGGCACTTATGTTCTAGAGGCATCTAAGTCTAATTCTGCTATTTCATAAACCTCTCTAGCTGCTTCTTAATTTAAAGAAGTAAAGGCTTGGAAGAAGTGGTTTTTGAGAAGAAAATTTCCAACGAAGAGAGGCAGCTACAGCATATGAATGGTGCAGCTTAGCTAAAATGAAGTAATAGTAATCAGAAGATAATTGGGAGAGAGATACGGGATAAAGTGTAGCTGTAGGATTCCGAAACTTAGGTATTTTTTATGTTTTTCACACTGAGAAGCAGCTAGAGGAGTTTATGAAGTAGTAAAAGAATTCTAAAACGTAAACTTATTTAATATTATTTGTCAAGTTTTATGTATACAATTAAAAAATTGTAGTTAAATAGGTATTTTTGATTGGAAAAAAAGACGTTTCTGAAAGGATTGTGAATAGAGGCAATGCGTACGGGGTGAATTTGAATCCCTTTCAAGTTCCTAAAATCGTGGGTACAATGTGCACTCGCTCACCATTACACCAGTTCCCAAAAGGGGGACGGTATTTGAAGTGACAGAAGGACATTTTGGCGTCAAATCGCTGGAAGATTAGCAGGGAACCAAGTGCCC